TTTTTTATTTTTTAAAAATTTTTCTTCATATCAATGCAACAATAGGTCTACCAATTAGCCAATTCAGCGAATACTGTATGTATGGCACGCCAAATTCAAAAAAATTAGCTAATATAAGTTTCACAATTGATAAACTAGGTTTATCGACTGTAAACTATAGTTAACGATTCGTTAAGTATAGTTTTCATTTTAAAACTATATTTAACGGTTGTTAACTATAGTTTACGAATGTTAATCTAAGTTTATCTGTCATATCATAGTTTATTGAAACATAGATTATCTATGGCACGCCAAATTAAAAAATGAGGCAAACATAGTTTCACAGTGATAAATGGGTTTTATCATTTTAAACTAATTTACGGACTGTAAACTATAGTTAACAACGTTAATCTATATTTTACATCCGTAAACCATAGTTAACGCGATAATCTTTTTTACAACCGTAAACTATACTTAACACTGAAAACAATCATTTGCATTGCAAAACATAGATTATCTGATAAATACAGTTTCACGATTTGTAAACTATAGTTTCAAATTTAACTATAGTTAATGATCTGCTAAATATAGTTTCACATTTGTGAAACTATGATTAACAACTTTAACTATAGTTTACGATTGTAAACTATAGTTTACAAACGTGAATCTATGTTTATCAACAAAATTATTGTTAACGCTTTTTAAAGACACATAAACTTAGATTAACAACCGTTAAATATAGTTTTACAGACTAAAACTATACTTAACGTATCGTTAACTATAGTTTACGGTTTTGTAAACTATAGTTTACAGTCGATAAACCTAGTTTATCGATTGTGAAACTATGATTATCTCATTTTTGTGAATTTGGCGTGCCATAATTATCGCATTAACTATGGTTTACAGATGTGAAATATAGATTAACGTTGTTAACTATAGTTTACAACCGATAAACCTAGTTTATCGATTGTGAAACTATGATTATCTCATTTTTGTGAATTTGGCGTGCCATAAGTATGTGTCCCCTGCGTAAGGAAAAAAAGGACTGCATGTGCGGGATCGTGAGAGGGGTCAAAAAAGGGCACTTTAAAAGGGTGGGGGTTCGGTTTTGAGTGTTATGCTAAATAATTTCATTACAAAGCTCAAAAGCTTCTTTGGATATACAATGCAACCCGGAATTAAAAATTTCATGCACAGAAAAAAAATGTATAAATGTATAAATTTTCGACCTGAACCTTTGAACTTAAAATCAAAAGATGCTTCTTTAGGCCGTAGGAATATGTTATATAAAATTTGATTGCAAAAACTCAAAGGCTTCTCGATATATAGAAAAGAAATGAAAGTTTTACCGACAGATAGACAGACAGACTGACACTGTTGAAAGCGGGGGACAATAAAGGGGCGGAACAGGTACCCATGGGAATTCTGTTAGATTTTTGGAACAGCTGATCTCCAAAAATTTAAATTGATATTGTAAATCAGAAACTCGGGCATCCCCCCCCCCCCCCCCCCCCCCCGCTTTCACTATTTCGGTTTGTCTGTCTGACTGGCTATATGTAATCTTTGATTACGATATGGACTTCCATTATTTTCCATTAAAAAGTTATTGATCTGATATAAATTTTATGCTTTCACTGCAAATGGCCTTGAACTTACAATATTGGTCTTGGGAATTATTATGCTATATATTCTCATTAATAATCTTTCTTTGAAGTTCATTGTGTTGAGACATGACTCATTGAGCCTTTGAGCTTCAGTGACCTATATAAGACTTTCTTCATTGTACAAATTAATACTGAAAAAAGTGCTCTACAATAAAAATAGTTAGAGAGTTAATTTGCAGACAAAATTTATCAATGTAGAAATGGACAGCGATAGCTATAACCATCACAGTATCCTCCCTACCCCCCTTAAAAAATGTATTATGTTTTAAAAACATTTTCAGTGATTCCCATAAAATACAAAGATTTTTTTTTTTTTTAATGTTAGGTTTTTATTGAATTAATGGCATCTAAATATTGCACTATAAAGCAGATTAAATTCCTCCTTCATAATCATCATGTCAAGTCCATATTTCACTGTTTGTAATTTGACAGCACAATTACTCCTCATGCAAAGGTTTTTCCATTAAATGAAATATCTTCTCTTCTCTCATTTGTAAAGGTGATCATAAACCTGTAGATATAGTAGATAAATCAGCTTGAGTATAACCTCTTTCCTTTATATTGTACAACTTTTTTAATATTCAATAGCTGGATTTGTACATATATACTGAAGAAAATTCTTTATACATTTCAATAATTAAGAGTTCAAATCAAATTTCATATCAATATGATTCGTACTCTTAAATTAAAGCAGTATATACCATTGTAAATCATTCTTTTTACCTGTCCTTTGGGATGTTGAGTGTTCTTTCCACAAACTCAGTAATGTTTACAGCATGTTCTTTATTTTTTGCTCCATCTGTGATGTTTTTCAACTCTACACTTGCACATGGATCATCAGAATTTCCCATACTCATCATCTGGTCAGCATTTACTCGTACAGTAATATACTACAAACAATGTAAGTTTTACTTAAAATTTTTTTCAGCCAATGTTACCAATGGTAATCAATGGTACACCAATGGAGCCATTGTTAATATTTGTGAGTTTCCTACCAATTGAACCCTAAAACTTGTTCAGAGTACATTATATGGATCCAATGGTACCAACGGTACAAATTGTGATGGTATCACTAGAAATAGTCTGAACACACAATTGGTTGCGTCTTCAGGGACCAAAGAACTGGAAGGGGGAGTGTGGCAGCCAAGTTTACCAGAAATTTTTTACATGATAACAAATATTGTGTCTGAGATATGAGAAAATGAAAGTAAATGCTATAACCGCTGTTTGGATTATTTTTCCAGATTCGATTCTGCTTACATAATTTGGGAGCCCTTCTGTATTGTTTACTTTTGCTTATTTGGATGCATATTAGTTAGAAAACTCTATAGGGTCTCGGGACGAGAAAGACTATTAGGCCTACTGTTACGTGAGCAAGTGATGATGTGTAGTAGTAGCCGACAGGCTTTCGCCTACATCCACGAAATGTTGTCGCGCCATATCGCGCCGGTGGTTTCGCCCCCTTTTATCTACAGGTATCTACAGGTAAGATCCAAAGACTCCCCCCGATTACCTGTAATTATATAACCTAGTAGCTTTTAATTAATAGCAAGCCCTACGTCCATTAAGGCAAAAAGGCAAATGCCTACACAAAATTTGGGGCAAAAAGTCAAGCTTTTTTTAAAAATAAAATTAATGTAATAAATTAATTTTTATCCAGTACATATATATTTTTTTATAGTTGTAAAACATAATTTACAGTCTTGTTTCTTTTAGTGGTGTTAACAGTCAAACTGAGTACCCCATACAAAGATGTCATGGGACATTCCTGCAATCTTTGACAAATTAAGAAAAATTGAGTTTCTCACAACAAAGTGGAAATCCTTTGATGTTTTATAATCCCAATTAACCAAGTTACCGTAGTATAATGATGAATACGACATTTCCAAATTTTGGCCAAAAAATGCTTAAAAAATTCTTTCAACTTCAATGTACATTGAGGTGACATATATCTTGGGCAATTTTACAAGATTTTAGTTTCTATGCAAATAAATAACTATAACAAGCATCAATTTTTTTGTTTTAATTAAGAATTTTCTTCTTTCAAAAGTGCTAATTTTGCGTCTATTTTTCAAAATTTTCTCGGGGGAGGTCCCCCAAACCCCCCTGGCAGGAGGGGTTATCCCCTCCCGCACCTATCCCCTTTCGGCTCTTCGCGCCTCAGTGAAGCCTGCAGCTTCATTTTTTAATGCCTACACATATATTTGATGCACGCTACGCCACTGCAAGCGCTAATGTCGTGTTATGTTAGACAATTATCCCATTTTGTAGTAACATTTTTATGACTATTTGATCAAATTTGATCGTTTAATTTTGAATAATTTAGGATTGGATGTAAAAATATAATATTTATTTCTGTTGAAATATAATATTTATTTCACAAATCCCATTTTGTATTAATATATTTAGTGAGGCCATTTTTAGCCAAATTATGACTATTTGAACAGATTTGATCGTCTAATTTGGAATAATTTAGGACTGGATATTAAAATATATTTATTTATTTCACAAATAGCGTTGATTTTTCAATGAAGGCTGTCATTAATTGTTTCAGTTTATTTACAATATATTATGTATAACAAGGAAACTTACAGACACATTGATCAGTAATTAGAAAATGCCTAGAAGCACTCATACAGACAGAAATTCTTTAAAACTTCAAAGCTTATATATAATATACATGCGGGGCGAATCCACTCGGCGCGAACAAGTGATTGGAGCGAAACCACTCGGCGCGAACACGTAATTGGAGCGAAACCACCCGCATTCTGTCCACTTATCTAAAGAGAATAGTTAGACAGTGTTAGAGTTAGGCATTTACTGACTTAGCAGTGCTTGCAAATATATTTAATGAAGAATGACAACATGACAACATACATTTTCGGCTTTTCCCAATTCTTTTGAAATAAAAGCACAGGCTTGTTGAAGGAAATCCTTCGGAATTTTGTCTTTTGGCAAGTTGGTGTACACAACAAAATTCGGCATGATTCTAACTCAAACTGGTGGAAGTTATTGTCGCTTATATCAATGTTTTTTTTTTTCGCATAATTAGAAAATTCACCGTTTGTGACTTCAAACATGAATATTTATTAATAAATAATTAATCTAATATTTTTTTATGATTCACTGTGTATATATTTTAAACATATCTATCTATTTTTATTTCATGTATTTTATTTTAAATGATATAAGGGACAAATATGGTTGGAGATGTCAATAATCAATGCCCGTCAAGATGAGTAAAGATAAATTTAACATTGAGGATGCATTTGAATCAGACGAAGATGAAAAGATTCGAGTTTATGGTTCAACAAAGCAAACGCCAATTAAAGCTCCGAAAAGCCGAGAAAAAATAAGCTCAACGTCCGATGAAATACCCTTGACAGAGTGTCAGGTAAATGAACCCTATATAATGCATTGTTTATATTAGTAACTTACTGGAGCCTCAAAAGGCCTTATTGTATCTAAAGTGGCTGATAATTGATCGAATGACGTAGTTTAATATTATAAATTTAGTTTTATTCATAAATTAAGGTAAATATTCATAGAATAAGAGAGTCTTGAAAATGTGCATATGTTCAAATATATTATGTCATTGTTTATACTATCTCTTGTGATAAGAGAATATTCAGTAGATTAGAAGCACCCTACACTTTTTGGGAGCTAGCTGCTATATTTAATCTAGCCCTCTCTATTTGCTTTTAATTCCATATTTGATTGGAGAGAGCTACAATTAATCACAGCGCATCTCTGTGATGGTGCAAATATATTTTTTGTCCCCCGCTGAAAGTGGGGGATATTAATTTGAATTATTTCAGTCTGTCTGTCTGTCCATCCATCTGAAGTTCCATCTGTCTGTCCATCTGTCAATCCATCTGTAGTTCTGTCTGTCTGTAATGCTTTAATTTGTTTCCACACAGTATCTTGGGAAGCCTTTGAGTTTTTGCAATGAAATTCTACTCCGTATGGCCTAAAGAAGATCCCAATTGATTTTGAGGTCAAAAGGTCAAGATCATATATGAAAAAGATTCTGTTTGTTTTAAAACTTTTGTTTCCATCTGATATCTCAAGAGATCTTTGAGTTGCAATGATGTTTTACATTTTATACCACAATCCATATGGCTTAAAGAAGATCCCTATTTATTTTGAGATCAAAAAGGTCAAGGTCATAAACTCATACATTTTGTGTGTGTGTAAAACTTTCATTTCGAGGCAATATCTCAAGATACTTTTGAGTTTTTACAATTAAATTGTTATGTGTACTTTGATGAAACTAAGTAGGTTTGGCATCTGAAATGAAGATATTATGATGTATGGCATGTACAGAATATTTTTATTGTGTGAAAAATACTTTATAGCTTCATATATGTATACACATTTAAAGAATAAGCAGTCAAATCTTCATATCCATATTGGCATTTTTATTTGCTTCAATACATAATTTAATTCTGCAAATTGGGGGAAGGGGGAATCACCCCCCCCCCCCAATCTGAGCATCCTCCTCTTTTTTTCTTCAGCGGGGGACACAGATTCTCTGAATTAGCTTGTTCAAATAGCCATTCACTGCTAATCTTAGCCGAAATCTGTGTGGGAGTGAGTTACCCCACACTTGCACCATTATGGAGATCCTTAAAGGAGTTGACCAAATCCAAACTGTTTGCTTGTAACAATTAGGCCAAAAGCAAAAGTTCATATTGAGGGTTAAATTTGGTGGAATGCATTTTAAATGCAAGAGACCTAGTCAGTAGATTCTGTTTTTTGTACTTTCTATTATGACAAACATATCTTTTTTCTAGAATCCATGTTTTCTATGAACATCCCAACATTTTGTTGTAGATTTCATTCACAGGCACTACAGATTTAACTTGGTATGCCGATTCTTTTATCAAGGAATGCTTCATTCATATTTGTTGTTCTTGCTTATTTTGAGGAATAGAATTATGTAATAATATGATAGGAATTTACGGAAGCCAGTTGGTGCCAGGTAGAAAAACTGAATAAGTTTCTGACATCTGGCTTCCGCCTGATAACTTATCTGGCAGCTGCCAAATAATTATTTCACAGCCACCAAAAAATTATTCGTTTCCGCAAAATAAGTTTCAGGGAGATGCCAGTTATTTATGTGGTGTCAGCCAGAAACTTATATGGCGGTCACCAGATAAAATATATTTTTCTAACTGGCACTAGGGCTTCCATAGGAAATTGATTGGAAATGAAAAGAGAACAGCTGTTACATGAAATGACTTCAAGTTAAGAACTGTATGTGACTATTCCAATATGACACTATTTTAAAAATATGCCCAACAAACTATAAAAGGGAATTTAAGGTTTTTCGGATGAAGGGCAAAATTATCTTACTTGGGGAGATTATTAGGAAATAGTTAGGTAGTTAGTGAGATCATTTAAAAATTTTCCTCTCAAGAACCACTGGACCAGAAAAAAAGGAAACTTATATGAAATCCTTCTAAGGTAGTGGGGAGTAAAGTAAATTCAAATCATAAACCTCAAGGGTAGGTTGTGCCACTATGGCTGAACATTTTTTCTATGCCCTCTTCGAAGAAGGGAGGGCATATTACTTTGCTGCTGTCTGTCGGTCCACCATCAGTTTCCATTTATTTTCTTTGGAGAGGTTTCACAAAATGAAATGAAATTTAGTATACAGATTTATCATAGGAATATCTAGGTCAACTTATGTTTTGGATACGATTGAGCCATTTTGGACAAAGTTATGCCCCTTGGACTCAGAAAAATTCCAATTATTTGCAGTTTCTGTTCATTTTCTTTGCAGAGGTTGCACATACATGTATTGAAATGAAATTTGGTATACAGATTTATCATAAAATTATCTAGGCCAAGGTTTGTTATGGGTATGATCGGCCTTTTTTGACAGAGTTATGCCTCTTGAACTTAGAAAAATTCCAATTATATGCAGTTTCCATTCATTTTCTTTGCAGATGTTTCACATATTGAAATCAAATTTGGTATGCATATTTATCATAAGAATATCTAGGTCAAGTTTTGTATTGGGTATGACTGAGCCTTTTTTGACAGAGTTATACCCCTTGGACTTAGAAAAATTCCAATTATATGCAGTTTCCATTCATTTTCTTTGCAGAGGTTGCACATACATGTATTAAAATGAAATATGGTAAACAGATTTATAAAAATATCTAAGTCATCTTATGTTTTGGGTACAATCGAGCCATTTTGGACAGAGTTATGCCCTTTGGACTTAGAAAAATTCCAATTATTTGCAGTTTCCATTCATTTTCTTTGCAGAGGTTGCACATATTGAAATGAAATTTGGTATACAGATTTATCATAAAATTTCTAAGTCAAATTCTGTTTTGGGTAGGGTCATGCCTTTTTGACAGAGTTATGCCCCTTGGGCTCAGAAAAATTTCAGTTATTTGGAGGAGGGGAGGTCATCAGTGTTTTACAAATATCTCATGTTTAATTATATATGGGAAATATCTTTAGAAATTAATGTTCTCAAGAACAGCAAAGCCATGCTAAGTCATAATAAACTCATTTTCATATGGAAGCACCTAGAGGAATCGTAGATTCAAGTTTGTTCAAATCATGAACCTCATGCAGTTAAAGGATGTGGCCATCATTGGTATATGTATATATAAGAAAATCTTTAGAATTGTCTCTCAAGAACAACAAACCCATATTACTTAAGAATAACAAGCCCTAGGTATAAAAAGGTAGAATTTTAAAAATCTTCTCCAAGACAACAAAGCCATGATCAGTCATATTTAAATTATATGGAAGCATCATCAGGTAGTGTAGATTCAAAGGTATAAAGTTACCTAGATGAGCTATGTGACCCATGGGCCTCTGGCTAATTTAATGATGTTTAATGCAGTGATGTAATTTCTGTTTTAGTATGATGGGCAGGGCTACAGTGAGCAACAGCTGATGGGAAGCAGCCAAAAGCAAGGGTAGGTAGTAAACAGAAGGAAAAGATGCTAAAATTTACATATCATTAATGTGTTCTGGTAAAGGGAGTTTAGAAAGCCAAAAGCAGGTGTGAGACCATAGTGTAGCTAACTAATCTGAGAAACTTTAGCTCAGCTATTAGGTGAGATACAGTACTGGTTTGTAGTTTTGTAGGTGGAAATGCATGAGAATTGTTACTGCTAATAATGTTAGGGATGTTTTTGACTAATTCAACTGCTTCAGCCTCATTACTGTTATTGAGACAACATTTAGTTACTGGCTGTTACCTATATATAACGTAATGCGGTACATTAGTGCCTGAAGGAGACAGATAGGATGTGCATTATTGGAAACAGAAATGAGTTCATAAAACACACACCGAAAGAGAGCAGACATAAACTAACAGAGACAAATTACTCTGAAAGGGATAATACGTCATAAACTGGCCTTAGGCTATTGTGACGAGGAAAGTAATACAAAGCACTGATTGAACGTAATGAGAGTTTGTTTTTATTATCACCCAATAATGAAGAAACGTGGGCTCCCTGAGCGGAGGATGAAGAAGGTAGTGATGTTCTATAGGGAGGAGGCCTGTATATCGTTATAGTCATGTAGTTATTGTGGATTTATGGAAACCAGCTGATGTATGGGGGGTTAACATCTTAATATTGAAGTTATTAGTTAATAAGCATGGAGGACTCTTCATTAAAATTCTGAATGAGTCTTAAAATGTCATTGTTTGAATATCACATCATGGAAATTAATCTGAAATCAAGCAACAAAATGTAAGTAGTCTATTTGACTTTCTGATTTTGATAGTTTGTTTGGTAATTATTTAGCTCACATACAATGACTTTCAAGAAAATCTATGCCTGCAAAAATAAAGATGCATCTGTTGACATTTCAGTTTTAAAAATGGAAGACATACTTTTGTATTTGGTATAGTTCGATCAGAAAATTAAGTCATAAATTGCTGCTGACTGATATTTGGTAAAAGGGGCCAGGATTAAGGAATTGACGAACACTGTTACACTTTATTGACCAGAAATTTATTTCACAAATAACAAAATTATGTATATAATAGGGTAAATTTAGATTTGGTCTATGGCTTAGGAATTGAGCTGTTTCATAGGTTGATATTCAGAAATTTTATGAGATTTTAAAAATATACATCTATAAAAGGGATCTCTCAGCAAGGGTTGAAATCAAATTAAAAAAAAAAAGAATGGCAAATCAGCATATTTAAAGATGTCTTTATTTTATCCATAAGAAGTTGTGTTGATATCCATTAAAACATAAGAGAATAAACTAACATTCTACAGACAAAGTGGTGCAAGAGGTAGATGGAATTGACAATAAACTTTTTACAGAGCTTAGTTATGAATAATTTCATTTAGATATACCAAAAACTTTCTAGCAATTAGCTGTGGATGCAACTCAAGATACATGTAATGATGTTTAAGGTTCAGTGACTCTCTGATAAGCTCTCATTTAGAAAAAAAGAAAGACTTTTTCCTTTAAAAAATATCATTAGCTTATATAAAAGGTATGCTGAAATTGTGTGCATTTTACTTATAAAATTATTTAGTTTACTGTGTAAAAAAAAAAAAAATGCTGTGCTATAGCCATAAAAAAAATTGAAAAGCTAAAGAGAAGAATGATGAACCTTAATGCTAATATTAGTTTTGAATTTTAACAATAGTTTGATGCATTTCCATGCATTTCTTCTTGAAACGTTTTATCATGTTTATTTGTTGTGCTTTTATTTATGCATGCTTGGTGGAGGGCGTTTTCACTTTTACTAACCTGGTTATATTTCCAGTCATCCGCTGGTGGGGGCACCTGTTATCACTGATCCCAGTGGCTGGTCGGGGGAGACTGTTATAGCCTCCAGTTCTGCCAAGGAACCACGGTATAATCATCATAGAAGTTTACACTAAGCTAAATCACTACACATGGTCTTATTTTTTTTTTGTTTATCTCAAAGATTTTTAAATGCAGAAAAATTATTCATACAACCAATAATTTACCAGTGTCTATGAGCACAGTAAAACTTGGTTTCATTGTATGTTTACTTTGAAGTGATTTTCATTTTCTTTAGTTTTAAATGTGTATTGTAAAGGTATCTGATAAATTGTATTACATCGATAACAAATGTTCATACCTGGCTCTTACCTGTAAGCTGACAGTGTTAATTATATTTTCAATGAAGTATTCATAAATTACTAAAAATACAAAAAAAGATTACAACATTATTATCAATAAAGGTAATGAAATATGAATTCTATAGAAATAAGCAGATGTATGTGTACAGTTTGGAGACTGAGATACAGGTATAGTCAGACAATGCAAAAGGAATTCACTAATTGATAAAAGTTTTATGCAGCATGCCACTAAAATACTTGTTGCACTCAAAAATGTACGAGGGTTGTCCATAAAGTTCGTGGACAACATTGATAATTACTGACAAACATTGTTAAAATATATGAAACTATTATTTTCATTAAATTCATGTTTCATTTTATTAACATGCAAGTTTTCAACAAAAACAAAGCACAAATAGTTATATTTTTATTAGATTAAAAAAAGACATACACTAATACCCGGAGCATTAAAATGAAAATTCTTGACGTTATCCGACGTTAAAAGCATAACGAGTACATGTAACTTTTCTCAACATAGTCACTGTTTGACTCAATACATTTCTTATGTCGCTTTAACCACTCGTAAATATGTGCACAAAATGTTCAGGTTTCACACGTAAAATAATATTTAACAATGCCTGTCTCAAAGCCTGTAATCATCCAACCTTTGTCCACTGTCCGTGTAAAACAATTTTATTTGCAGAAATACGGTAAAGTCACGTTATGAAAGTCATTTTTACAGCACTGCAATCTCGGAATGAGGGTTTTCCTTCACGCATGTAATCCTATAAACTGTTCCTTCCGTCCAAAAATATTATATGCCACTTAAATACTAATGTATGGCTTCTTTTACTATGTTTTCCCGATTGTTTACAAAATGTATTGGTCTCTGTAGGTGTTTATCCGATGTCTACGCAGAATTTTATCACTGCTTACTGCTCCACCTATTCCGAAAACGTCCCTTTTTGGAGCAATTCCAATCTGTCTTAATAAGTTCTTACTTTGATTGCTCAGCCATTTTACAACTTTAAATGTTCAAATTTTGCATATTTTGCATGATAGCATCTGTCAACCTCATAATGTAAAAGTCATCCAGAATTCCGCAGAATTTTATAAAATAAAAATGAAATTTATAAAGTGATACATAATTTTCTAATTAAAATTTTGCGGTGCTCCGGGTCTCCATTCCAAGTCTAATTATGAAGCCATAATTCAAAATAAATATTTGAAATTGAATAAGATTTTACATTTTTCAATTCACATTTAGTAAAGGATTAGAAATATGCTAATAATAAATATCAATGACGCAACTTTTATTTAATTCTTAGCTTGTCCACAGACTTTACGGACAACCCTCGTACATATAGAATGGTAGAGAGAAGTATACGTATATATAGCTTCTTAAGGATCTTAGGTGCATCAAAATATTTCCATAACCTTTGAAGAAAATTAACACATTTTGATATCTTGGTTAGATTGGATTTGTTCTGATTAACACCTTGTTTCTCATATTTTAATATTATAAACAATATGTCTACTGGATTTTATATACATGTTCAACATTTACATCTATTTACACAAAATCATTATTTTATACCTCCACTCCGAAGGAGCGGGGGGTATACTATTTTATCCTTGTATGTCTGTCCGTCCGTCTATCTAGCTGTGTGTTTGTCCACAACAAATTTTCATCCCAGTTTTCTCAGCAACCAACTGAAATTGAAATTTTAAAACAATCTTCTCTAACATATGGTGGGATTCATTTTTGTTCAAATCTGATGTCAACTTCCTGTTTATCTGTATATCTGTCCGTTTCACACATAACAAATTTTCGTCACAGTTTTCTCAGCAACTGCTCTTTGCAGATGCTTGAAATTTTAACACAATCGTCTCTAAGGCATTAGATATGGTTGGATTTTTTTTTGTTCAAATCTGATTTCAGCTTCCTGTTTATCCGTGCATCTGTCAGTTTCATACATAACAAATTTTCGTCGCAGTTTTAATTCTCAGCAACTGCTCATCACAGATGCTTGAAATTTTGACACAATCTTCTCTAAAGCATGGGATATGGTGGATTAATTTTTATTAAAATTCGATGTCAACTTCCTGTTTATCCATGCATCTGTCCATTTCATACATAACAATTTTTGTCGTAGTTTTCTCAGTAATTTCTCATCGCAGATGCTTGAAACATTTCTGATCAAGTGTTTGTTATCAGTCTTTGGATGGTCTGTTCTCCAGTGCAATTGATATTAGACCTAGAGAAGTGCAGTACTGCTCTTTTGCAGGGCCATTAAATTACCGGTAATAATGATCTGTGAAGTTTTTATTTGTAGACAATGTAATAATGTTTATTTTATGATTACTAGCTGTTACATCACATCTCACCAGACTGCATCAATTTGCCCAGCAAAAGAGCCTGCACTACGTATCACATCCAGCTATCATTAAACAGTTATTTCTCAACATTATTTCTTTACAAATACAAAAACAAAACTGCACTGGAGAACAGACCATCCAAAGTGCATGTGAAAAGTAGATAACAACAACAGAACAATGACAGCCAGATAACAACCTTGATCAGAAATATTCTCCTATAGCATAAAATGAGTATATAAAGGATATTTTACCTGAGTTGTGTTTTTTTTTCAATTATCCTTAATGCTTTGGTAAGGGGATAAAAACAAACAATTCGGAAAAAATCATATTTAATAATACAATTACAATTTTGTAATGAATCGTTTTTGTAAGATTTAAGTTTATATCAACAACAAAAACTATCAGTATTATTTTGAGGTGGCACATTTAATCCAAATTACATACCAGTACCTCAATGCATCAGTAAACTGTTTGAAGTTTGATAAAAAAAAAATGAAAAAGTTCCCCCCCCCCCAAGATCTTTAATTTGAGACCTTGATAGTTTGTTATGCTTATAGACAATACAATGTACCAATAATTTGTTTTCTTTATGTAGAATATATAGTTTTGTAATCTATATTATGTTGCATTGCAGTATCCTTTGTTTTTTAGTGTGTATTGGTAAATGTTCAATGGCCACAATGCTCAGGTCTAAGTACTCAGTAATCATTATTAAAACTTATTTTGTGAACTGAAAATTCAAACTGAGAATTAAAATTGAAATGATGGTTTGAGGCACAAAAAGTTTCCTGCTGGGGCAAAAGTGGGACAAGTCTATCAAAATAAGTATCAGAGAGCTATGTAATAGAGATGTAGTAAAATCAATTTTTGAAATGTTAATTAATGTTAGCATTTCAGATATTCGCTAAAATATATAATTGTATTGGTATTGTAAAGAAATAATGTTGAGAAATAACTGTTTCATGATAACTGGATGTGGTACAAACTGCAGGCTCTTTTGCCGGACAAATTGATGCAGCATTCATTTCTTAAGTCCTACTTTTGCCCCATTCTCACTATGTGGAGGTGAAAGAGGATTTAAAGCACGAATCCTATTAATTTAATTGAAAATCAGCACTATAATTCAAAAGCAAACTTTTTTAAAGTCAAAGTAAAACTGTAATAAAATTTATAAAATCATCAATGCAAAATTGTTGCATATCAGTTGTAGCCCAAACTGATGAGCACTGCTGGAGAACACAACTCCAAATACAAACAGTTAAACACGCTCATAGCAAGAAATCTTATAATGAATTGATGCTTATAGCGAAGAAATTTTCATTCTACATACTGTGCAGCTAACGGATATAATGAATTATGCTTATGATGAAGCAAAATCATTCATCCCTGGCACTTTTTCTCATTTAAGTGTGTTTTACTGTATATAGATACGTCTGGACTTCTGGAGCAGTAGGAAACCTTTTGTGCCTCAAACCATCATTTCAATTTTAATTCTCATTCAGAATTTTCAGTTCACAAATAAGTTTTAATAATGATTACTGAGTACTTGAGGTGGGCACTGTGTCCAGTAAACATTTACTGGATACAAAGCCAAAAAAAATAGAGGATCTTGTAATGCAGCATAATATAGGTTCAATGCGTAACAATGTGTTGTACTTGAGGAAAACAAATTACCGGTATATTGTATTGTCTGTAAGTTAAACCAACTATGAAGGTCTCAAATTAAAGATCTTTGGTTTGGCTTTTTTTTTTTTTTTCATTGTTTTTATCAAACTTCAAACAGTTTACAGTGAGATCCTAATTTGGATTAAATGTGCCACCTCGAAATAATAATGATAAAAGTTTTTTATGTTAACATAAACTGAAATATAAAAATTTATAACAATACTTGTATTATTAAATTGTAAGTAGAAATTTCAGAAATAGAAATGGAATGTTTATTTTTGATTTTAATATAGCTGGTGGAGACATCCTAAGATCAAAGAGAACTACAAGACAGTATGTGGGGCAGTATCTCTGACTGTTGTGGGAGCAGGTAATTTATTCATATTTCATTGTCCAGTCAATCCTCAGTATAGTATATGCTTAATCCTGTAACTATAGCTTTTCATATCTGACCAGGTTAGGACAACTCATAATGTCTGACATTTTCCCTTCTGTCTCTACTGCCCACCCCCTTTTGCTAAATATAACTCATAATAAAAGGAGAGAAAAATAACTGTAAGGGATGAAGATGTTGGCACTGAAACATGTTATAATTCAATTGATTTTGTGTGGGTCACTTTGTTATAAATTACTCATAATTTATCTTTAAATGAAACCTCACCAGACTTCTCAAGCTCTCTGTTGTTGTTTGGAGTTCCCAGGATTAACTTTGTGTGTTGTATTTTCAGCCCTGTTTTTGGTTGGTGTTGGTATAGTGGCATCTGATGATAGAGGTGAGACTTATTTATTTTATACTGCTGTGTATAATAATGTGTAAAATATAAAAAAGATATCAAACAACACTTTTTCAGTGTTAGTTTTTTTAGCTATGAAAATATTAAAAAAAAAAAAGGAGAAAAGATTGTTATTTTAAAAAGAAAGCATCAGCTGTTTTATTTATGCTGGAATTGCTGTAAATTCCATATAAAACATTGATTAAACATTCAAGATTTGAATTTTTTTCAGATAAAATCCTGATTTATTCCATTTTAGATTTTAACTGTTTCTTTTCCTTTCAAAATTTAAGGACATTCACCAGAGGTTTTCTTTCTGTCAGTAAAAATAAAATTTGAGTAAAAATAAACCAGATTTCTGAATTAATCTTTTATTAATTGTGTATTATTGTATGTAGGTCTTCACTGCTTAGAATTCTTTATTGGAGGAGTGTTGTGTCTTATTCCAGGAGGTAGGTTTTTATCATATATAAAACAGATCATCAAGTCCTCTTAAATATTGTTATAAGTTTTCCATTTCATTTTCCCTCAGAATTGTCAATGCATGTTACATTTCATGTATGCTCACTAAATAAAGATAATTTGAATAATAATTAAAAGAAACATGTATTTAGTAATATATTTTTATGCTAGCAAATGCATTGTATTTTAACGGAGCAATATTTACTCTTTTTTAAATACATTGTAATGTCTAAAGGTGTGGTCACACGATGCGATTTTTCATTCGATTTTCCATCCGATTTTTCCAATCGATGTCATTTCGACTTAAATCGTATCTTGTGACTGCACCTTAAGTGAACATCAATTTGTTGATAGATGTATAAAATGACTGATTGTGTATCAAAGCATGGTATTTCATTGATTTATTAAAAACGTCACATGCACTTCGGAACTGTTAAAGATAGTATTAATATATGTACAACAAATCTCTTAATTGTACTGTATGTATAAATGTATAATTAGACCCTTCTCTATCTCTTTCCAGTTTACCATGTGGTGTACATTATTCTAGCAATAAATGGAGTTGGTGGGTATAATTTGTATAACCTGCCCGTGTTTAATACATAGTAAACACCTCACACCACGTAGAACGGAGAAATCCCTCAGTACAGTAGACAGGGTGATTGGTATGGAAGGTTCAAATGTGTACAATATGTAGATTGTGTAAAATTATATAGAAAAATATGTGTTCACTTTACACTGCAATATCATATTTATTATTTTCTAACTTTAAAATGGGTGTATATTTAATTTTTGAGAATAAGTTTGGAATTTCTTTGTTATTGTATAGATTTTTTTTTACATTTTTATTTTAATATTATTATTATTTGATCACAATATATTACAGTTAAGCATACTTATAGTGAAGTAACAGAGATGAACAATTTTGCCACACACTATTCATTAATATGATTATATCCGTAAAATTCACAATACAATTTAAAACTATGGGCACAGAAAATCACTGCTATAAGAGTATTGTAAATTGATTATAAGGTGTTCACTATAAGGGCATTATACTGCATTACTAGTATTCATATTATGGCATATGCACATACATATATCACTGTATTATACTGACAAACATAACAAAATGTTCATACTAGTGTATTTTTTGTAAGAAAGATTTTTTGAAAGGGTATTAACACAGAGATCAGTGGAGGTCTTTGTGAGAAATATATCTGTGTGGATTGTTTACAAGATTGAGACATACGTGTACAGGACAATTTTAATGTTCTTGAAAACATTTTTACTTTGTAAGACCATTTAGACACCAATTTTGTTATTTACGTCATGTTCATCCCATATACCTGATGTATAGATATGACTTGTGATGGCCATTGTCTGTTCTTAAATCATTTTTTTTAATTTCAAAATGCATTCAGTAATTTTTGCAAATTCACATCCAGAAATACAATATTTGATAGAAAAAAAATACCCAAAAGCAATTGCAGCACATCAAGATGCAAGGTACATTGAGATGTTTGCCACTGTGGAAAAATATCACTGCAGAATTTACTTCAATTTTAGCTTTAACTGAGCAGCATTTTGAATATTAATGTTCATGTATTTGCAATGTTATATTTGTGTTGTTATGAGGTGACATAATTTTTTTCAAATCTGCTGACAGTCCTTTTGTTTTTCCGTGTCTTTTGGTCTTCTTTGCAGATAGTCATAAAATGGTATTTAGACATTCTTTATGAATTTAAAAGGAAGGAGAAATTCAGCATATTTTTTAAAGTTTGTTTTTGTTATACTCATTCATAATCAGCTACATGCCTGAATTGCCTTTGTTATTTTATTAATTTTTTTTTTTGATGGTTGTGAATATTTCAAACACAGATTTACTGGGTTGTCAAAGTATCACATTCTCAGAGTAGAGGGGATTTTTACAGATCAGATTGTATCACAATATATCACTACAAGTATTTCAGTATTTCATATGGTTTAAAGACGTACAACACACTGGGGGAGATAACTCTTGCGATTTCAATTGAACGTTTGACGTGACGTCAAATTTAACGTGAAAAATAAAGCGTCAAAACGACGAGTAAAACGATCCCGATGTATATCAATCATAAAAGAAAATTAGGATATGGGGCTTGGCTGTGATTGTGCGTACCATACTCAATCAATAAGTATATATTTTTTTTAATTAACCCGATTAAACTCCGTAAAAAGCAAGACATAAAATACCATCCCTTAATGTTTATTGCATTTCATTTCATATACAATAAATTGTATTTATTATCAAAGCGCTGCATTTTTTTTATTCTGAAAATTTTATGTTACATTGCCGAAATTCGCAATTGGCTATATAACATTCCGATTAATGATCTTCATTACAATTTGTGCATACATGATATGAATACAATTGTATTGTTTTTCTTCTTTAATTAAATAAAACAACAATAAAAAAAACAAAAAACTTTTTACAATGTAAAATCGATGATGTTCTCAGACCCTTACTGATCAAAGAGGAACAACTCTGAAAATGTAGGAGATGTTTATTTTCCTCCGTTTATTCACGGTTTTCCACAGAATCAGATACATTTACAGCAAGACCTGATAAATCCGAGAATTGAATACTATAGGCCTCATATACACAATGTAAGTATAGAATTGAAAAGAATTGTTCACTAGTACTGAAATTATCTGCATCCTATTGCAGCAAATCGTAACTTTGTCTTTCTGTCAACAATGTCGGTTCGCATTTCCTCGAATCAAAACAAAACGTAGCCTATAAGATTAAAAAAAATATATCAATGTGCGATTTGATATAAATTGAAATAGATGAAGAGTTTAATGTTTGATATTTTGAAGTTTATGTGGACGAATACGGAATTTTCATTTTAACTTTAGAAGCGACGGCATTGAAAGAAATGCGCACAATATCATGAGGGGTGTATGTACATGTACATGTAATGCAAATGTCGATGTATACCCACGGCCACATACTGTCTCGTTTGAAATAATGACATGAAAGAAACTACAATTATTCCATTTATATCACAGGAGAGGTGAACATACACCATTTTTTAATGAATAAAATTAAAGAAATAAAATTAAAAATCAACATATTCAAGTTCAACAAAACTTGAATTCGTATCCAGGTTTCATGTGATATGGAATGCATAACGCATAATGGACTAAACACTAAAATCTTTCAGTAATTTTTTCCTGATACATATAAAAAGAGTAGTCAATATTTTTATTCTGCATTCATGAATTAAAAAACTAATGCATACCTCCGGGATTCTTGACGAAATGCCAGTATATTTGCACTGTAAACGACGTTTCGTCAAACGCTAATGGTCTGCGACGCAAAAAAGGAAGGGGTGGGGGTGATAGGGGTATTAAAAAATTGCCTAAAAATCTACATTTAAATATGCTTTACATATGAGAACTTTTAAATTTGTAAGTTAAGATATTTTTCAAGCAAAAGCAATATTCCAATTTATTTTTTTTAATGTGTATTTGTAGATTCATATAAGAAAGTGATCGACCCCCGTCTGAAAGACGCGCGGGAACGTGATTTATTGAGAAAGGGGGAGGGGGTAATTTTCCGCTATTAAATCAAAACTGGTCGTACAAAAATTATACAAAAATTTATGAAGATTATTTTCACTACCAGCTACCTAAAGAAAGTTTTTTACCAAAATTAAACGACAGGTTTTTTCACAAAAAAAATTTGAATTTGAAAAATACCCAATTTTCAAGGCTTAGAAAATTCATAGTTTTTCAGTTTAAGGTCATTAAAAATTGTTTTGATGATATGTATATCAAAAAGATGACTATGTTTTTGTGTTAAATGGTGAAAGGAATTAGCTAATGAAATTTGACATTTATATCTAACCTGGTTTTATTGAAAATCAAGGTTTAAGTAGTTCATTGATTAAAAATTTTCTCTCCTTGTAAACAACTAAAGGGGGGTAACTTTCGGAAGTTCCTGTCCAAAAACCACTCGAACGATTTTGTCCAAAATATGCATACATGCAGTAGATATAGTCATGTACTAAATATACAAAAATAACGAAAATTAAACGACAGGAATTTTTTGGGGTAGGTGTGTTGTACATCCTTAAATTTTTAATATTAAGATAATACACTAGTTAACTTAATTACTTTTAAAAATGGTTAGATTGATGCCAAAATATAGGTTAAATACATCGAATTTTGTCAGCTTATTATATTAATGATAAACTTTGGCTATACTTACAAGTAGTGACTGTCATAAAACATAAATGAACTTGGATGGAATTTTACAGTTTGAACAAATTTTAATTAGGTATCGACCTATTATGCATTAAACCTTAAAAGAATAGTCTTTCCAGTTTAATTAGCCTTTATCAAAATTGAATTCATTTTAATCTGTGTGCATTGTGAATTAGTTCCTGTAGGATTGGCAGCGTGTATGTTATATTATTGTCCACTAGTATTGCTTGTAATGTCCATTAATTTAGTTAAAATAGTATGCTGTCCGGATTTATTAATTTGTATTTAAATCACATTCTCCACAGTAAATTATAGTTGTGTGTACCAGTATATAGAGCGAAGGTTGTATGAAATTCTCTGTGTTATTTAATGTATGTATTTATTAACTGTTTTTACACTACTTTGTTTGGTCCCCATGACATCAGATATTTCGTGTACATCTGTGATATTTTTCACTTTGTTCTGAAACCAGTGGATTATTGTACCCATTGAAAAAAGTTCTGTCAAAACAATAATAGGTTATAAAATAAATGAACAAAAACGAATTTGTGTAAATGTTTCATACTTACAGAAAATTGATCTAAGACATAACCACAGTGATAACTTAAAAGAACATTTTTTAAAAATTTATTCAATCACCAAAAGGACAATAGTTAATAATATAAATCACTAGTAAGAATAACAGCATTACATGCTAAAACATCTTGCCTAAAACAAAAACGAACCAAGATTGTGAGATCAATTTTTATTGAAAAAAATCTATAAATTATCCTCATCAGCACCTTATTTACACTTCATTACGGTCATCCAGAAACTAGGTCACACGCAAAATATGTCATTATGGCACAAGATTCAGCACTGTTATCCTAAAATCAATGTGGACGTTTCTTCTATCATAATGATTAAGTAAAAAATTAAATATGATAATATACACATGAATAAGTGGTAACAAATGACTCAATGATTGGTGACAGGAGATAAATGCAGGTAAATTTCTTTGATTGGTGTCAGTCAGAGTCTTCGTATGTGTTGTACATATCAGCAAGCTTGGCAAACTTTGGCCCCCATTCGTGTAGATATTCGTAGTCCTGGTCCCCTCCACTGGAGGATGTATTGATTGAGCTGAGGGACCCCGCCAGGCTCCCCTCCCCCTCGTACATAAACTCGTGTAGCGTATCGTAGGGCGGGGCTCCGCTGTCACCCTCAGCATCCTCCAGACGATCACCGATGAATTCCCGTAAGTGACCATTCCTGGGTGCTGCTGCTATAACAATATATAGATATACATGTATTTAGATTTAATGGCTGAGTAATAGTGTATATGATCCCAATAACAAAAGCTAAGTATTTAACTTGAGGAAACCTACAGGTGACAGGTCTGTCGGCCATTGTCTTTGGTTTGGGTATATTTTCCTCCCTAACTGTCACTGCTTTCCTGATCATGGTAATGTCGTATCCAGCATAATCATCTTCACCTGGAATACAGGCACAGGTGTTACAAAAGACAGGTGTAACAAAAGACAAGTGTAATAAACGATAGTGTTTGTTTTTATCATTGAATGAAAGATGTTTGTTGAAAACGTTTGATTAAAAAGCGCATATCGATGTGAAGCACGAAATGTTTAATAGTTACAGTAAGTAGTATGATACTTTATCCTTGGAATTAATTATTCTTGGCCATAGAGCATAAACTAATAAGTATAGGAACCTTTTAGGGTAACAGGTAATGAGTAAACATTTACAATCTCGAAGAAACGTAAATAAAGATCCCCTTACCCGCCCCATCCTCATCATAATCGACCACGTCTTCTCGGATGTCAAAATCCTCGTTATCATAGGCCAGCATACTCTTATCCCGGGCTTGGTTCTTCTTCCTTCTGACCAGGAACGCCACCACAAGTATAACTACAACTAACACTGAAACGGGAGACTTTGTTTTAACTGAGAAAATAACCTAAGGTTCCATATGAAATATATATAATACATACATACTACATACCAGTACACATAAACTAAAATGTAAAAAAAAAATACAAGTCTTTATTTTGGATAGTGCTCATCTTTTGTTGCCAAAAAAGGTAGGTTTAAAGGCTGTAATAACAAACTTAAAGACAGTTATACTTACAAACAGCAAGACAAACTAGAAGTACGATCAGCCAAGTGTTGTCGTCCTTGTCTTCTGTTATAGGGGCAGAGGTCACCGTCACGACCCCGCTACAGTCCCAGTTACTGAATCCCTGGGGACACTGGCAGTAGTATCCGTGCTCCGACCCCAAGCTGCAGTTCAGTTGACAGGTGCCCCCGTTGTAACAGGGGACGCTGTTCTTACAGTAGTCAATGCATTGGCACCTACCGTTATCATCTGCTTCTTGGTGTACATTACAGCTGTATAAACGATAGAAATTGAGAAGATTTATAAGACAACAATTGTATAATCCATTATTTGATTATTGTTCTAAAGAGTGATAAATGAATACGTAAGTTAAATTCTTACACAGCTGGGTTGATTGTAACTGTTGTGTAGGCATCTTTGGCAGCAAGAGAACGCTTCTTTCTCCTGCTTGATGAACTGTCTGTTACTTTTACACTGAAGACGTATGGTCTTGGTTCTAGTGGCGCCAAAAGAGACACTGCTCCTGTCACGTGATCAATTTTAAAGATTCGAAGAATGACGGGATCGGACGCCATGATTTCATATCTCAGAGTACAGGGATTTCCACAGTCTGGGTCATTCGCTTTAACCTTATAAAAGTAGCATCAAAGGTAAATCATTTAATCGATCCTCTTCATTATATAATTTGAAAATTATCAATGAAAGATGTATTTATATGTTCACTGATTTTCCTCTACAGGAATTTTGTTCGTCTGTTTTTAAAAAAATTAACCTGTATTTACTGACAAAGAAATAAAATCCAAATAGTTACTTGAAATAAGGACTCGTTATAGTTTCTGTTGGCCACTATACTTTTGATGTTGTAGTTTCCACTGAATTCTGGCCGTCTGTTGTATGTTTTCAATACGCCAATATACACATCGACGGACGCAGAGAATTTTCCGTCATCTGCGGTGAATGTCATTGAAATATTCTGAAAATGATCGAGGAAGTTTTTAAAGAATGAAATATAGAGATAACGAACAATATACAGGAATAGAGCATCACGGACCTCTAATAAAACATCGGAGGTGGGATCAGGTGTAATGGAGGAGTAAGCATCCTCTTCGACCGGTGACACCCGATATACCAGATATTCTTGTCATAATCGGAAAAATTCGTACAACAATACAGTGTGAAAAGTACGAAAAACGTCAGTTAACTAAATGACAAATTGTGTCATTGTCATTAAATCATTATACATGTACCATGTCATTATATCGACGTACGTACCATAGAACTTGCGAAATCTCGACTTTAAAGGAGAATACTGATATCCTTTTTCTATGAACATGTTTGTCAATAACTCATCTCAGTTTAGAATTTATTCATACTTAGTGCACACTCTTGTGTATCCAGTCTACTACGAGACACAGACTCTTTTTACAGGTGATAAAGGTATATTATCATATAAGTAAGGGTAGTTGACAATAAAAAGTTTAAGTCATCACGTGTATCATAAAGTTTGTTGTAAGGCTATAATGACAGCAAGTGTTTTGTTTCATTTTGTGGTGTAAACTCCAATTTGTTTAAAATTTCACAAGGTGTAGGACAAGGAAGAGTACTTAGTGCTTTTATGTTTCTTGTGTATATTAATGATTTATTATATGAGCTATGCAAAAATGGCAAAGGCCTTTTACTGGGTGATTTACACATTCCAGGTATTCTATTAGCAGATGATACTGCTTTAATGAGCAATTCACCAACATCATTACAGTGTTTACTTAACCTTGTAGAAAACTATGCATTTACCTGGAGACTCCATTATAATCCAAGTAAAAGTGTTTTTATTGTATTTAGAAAAACCAAAAAATGTTACATATCTTGTAGCGCTACGCTTTTTGGCAGTGAAATACCTCAGTCTGAAAGTACAGTATATGCTGGTTGTCTTCTCCAGGCAAATATGAAAAGTGACAAACTTACAGAACGAGTGTGTAAAACTGCGAGATCAAAAATCCACTCTTTATATTCTATTGGTGTTAATAACTCTGACATTCATCCCGTTGTATCCGCAAAAATATGAAAACGGGTCGTGCTACCGTCTGCCCTCTACTCTTGCGAGATATGGCCTTTATTACCACTAACAGACATACAACAACTTGAGTATGTTCAAAGACACTTCGCCAGGATTATTCAAGGATTCTCAAAGTTTTCCCCATCGCTTTCAAGCATATCGAATATTGGACTGTGGACCATACAGGGCTACATTGATAAATGTCGCCTACTTTTCCTTGGTAGACTCCATAGGTCAGAACAAAACTCTGTACATTATCAGATCTATAAGTTTATTTCTGATATTCATGTATCTGAAAAATTTTTTGTAACCAAAAACATGTTACAAACGGCTAGCAAATACAATCTCTTAGATATGTTTGAAAACAATTGTAGCATTCTATACAGTAAAAAGGAATTTTCAAGAATGATTATCAAAACAATATGGACAGCAGAGGAAAATCAATGGCGTGCTGCTCTGTCTGTAGATCCTGATATGTCTTTTTTCAGTAAAATACATACTATGTTGAACCCAAATAAATTGTGGCAGATTGCTAGAGAAGATCCCTCAAAAAGATTATTAATCAATTTTTTGATTCAGGTTTCATCGATGAAAATTGTTTGTAAATTTTGTCAATTTTGTAATAAGGTAACAAGTAACTATAATATGCACTTGATGTTAAGTTGCTTTACACTATTAGACGACAGAGAAAATATGTTTGAGGACATTTTAGATATACTTGATGTAAATGAGTATGTTTTGTTTGAGGATCAAGATCCTGAACTACAGTTTTTATCTTTAATGGGGTGTGTTCAAGGCACATGTTTTGAAAACATATCATTCACAAAATGGAAATGCATAATGATAATAGTTGCCTCAACAGTTTATAAAAACAAAAGTCTGTTTGCCATAGACTGTCGAAACCTGTAATGTCCTAGCAGAAAATTGTACATATATATATATATATATATATGTTTTCTTTTTTGCAATTTTTGTTGTTAATTAGTTAATTATCTGTTAATTCATACAAACTCTCCATTAATTTGGAGGAAATAAAGAATATCTTATCTTATCTTATCTTATTATCATATAAGTAAGGGTAGTTGACAATAAAAAGTTTAAGTCATCACGTGTATCATAAAGTTTGTTGTAAGGCTACCATTTACATATTTTTCTAGTTTAATATCCAGATATGAAACAGATATGTACGAATCTGTGGTATCTATCATTTCAAGTTTACTGGGATACATTGTATTGACATACGAATGAAAGTAACTATTGGTAATTACTTATACGTCGTCGATATATCTACATGTACAGTTTAAGGCCACAGCAAGTATTTTCTTGTTCTCATGTATAATCTTTTTAAATAAATAACTTCCATGAAAATATTTGAAGAGCGCCATTTCATAATTTTCTATTTTATTTATTTTTTTTACAAAATTACCGCACTAGTGCACTAGTCACAAGTGTACACTGCATTGCGGGATTAATATACCTTTTGAAGTTTAATAAGTGGGTGTGAAATTCGCGGACAATCAAATTTTACCCAGAAGTTAAATCGTGTATACGGAAGATAGTTGGCATAGGACATGGATTCTTATAGATGAGGAAAGCCCACCAAATCTACCAATATTGGTCCCCAACAAACTATTTAAGATGCCACCAAAATACCATTGTCTATTTTTGCTAAATGGTCAGTTCAAAGATTCCAGAAGGAGTAAATGCAACATATATTTTGAGAAATATTTTATATTCAGATTGAAGACAAAGAATTAATAGAAGACTAAAAAGACAACGAATGGGGTCCTGGGGTCCTGTCCTTAAACACCAGTAATGTGAATAGGTGTCAAGAAATAAAACCAGGGACGTAGCAACAGGGGGGTCAGGGGGGCCTGCTTTTACTATTGAAAATGTTGCCCCCCCCCCACTTTATACTGAAGTAAAGTAATATGAAGGAAATATAAATATAGTATTGTAAGCTTAAGAAATGGATATTGAAAAGAATTGGTAGTGAAAAAGTTTACCCCCCCCCCCCCCCCCCCACGAAATAGGATTTTCGACTTTGGGCAATTTCGCTTACAGAAAATAGATTGTACAGTATTTGTATTACACATATGAAACATATTGAGATAACGAACAGTATTCAAGATCAAAAGTCCATAAAACAATGCAAAATAGGAGCAGAGCAAGTACGGACCTCCAAAACATCAGAGGTGGGATCAGATGCCATGGAGGAGTGAACATCCCCTGTCGACCGGTCTCACCAGCCGTGTGCTCCTTGTTATATCGGGAAATAACGGAAAAACCTGTCGTCAATTCAGTGTATAAATAATGGACTAACAATAAGTATTAAAAATAATTTACCTCGTTTTAGAAATTGTTCATACGCAGAGCATGCTCTGGCGTATTAAATAAACTGAGAAATATAAACTCCGTATGCAGGTGATAAAGGTATATTGCTGCATAAGTAAGGGAAGTCGACGATTGTAAATTTAAAGTCATCACGTTTATCATAGACCTTGATTGTTAGATTTCCATTTATGTACTGTAAAAAAAAATAACTAGTTAATGTCACGAAGAAAACTAGTAGATTCACTGTCCATACAATCACTACCTTAATAGTAGTTTTACCGGATATTGGTATATTTACTACATAAGATTAGTAAATTTAGAATTGATGAGTAACTTTAACTACGTATCAGTATCTATACGACCCCCGCTCCACAACTCACTATCTTAACCAGTAAACTGAAAGTTTACTGATCACGACCAACGCTTTATGAAACACACTAGTTAAATTCACTAGGTTTTTCTTTCAGTGTGTCTTTTTCAAGTAAAATATCCAAATATGAAACAGATGTGTCAGACTCTGTTGTCTCTGTTATCTCAAGCTCACCAGGATATATCTCATTGACATTAGAATGGAAATGACCATTGTTAATTGATAATACGTCGTCGATATATCTAAATGTCGAGTTGAAGGCCAAACAAGTGTTTTCTTCTTTTATTTATTGTTTAAGTATATTGAAATAGAGTGTACAATACTACGTTACCGTATTCGCTTGTCCAAATAGTATTCCCGCCACAAAGATTTTTCCAGTATTCTCATCCACCCCGAAAAACCTGGAGTCTCCCAAAGAATACTTTGTGTACCTCGATGTTTTCTCATCTGAAAGGTTACCAACATTAAGAAAAAAAAATCAAATGACGTCGATCATGTCCAAAAGTTTACTTTTTTATCATGCAGTATTGAAATAAAAAAAAATAATGAAGCATTATGTGAAAATTTCTGATGATAAATGTAAATTTTTGTAAAACTATTTATGATCAGATTTTTCGGAGGGTGTTACTTGATTTATGAATAATGTCCAGTACAACTAAAATTTATTTAAAAGTTTTTACCGTCTCTATCCAGGGCTTTGATGCTTCCCACGGAGTGTGATATGGGAGCGTTCTCAGGAACCGTGAAGAAATAGGAGTTGTTGGCAAAGTAAGGTGGATTATCATTAATGTCCTCGATAGTGATTTGTACCACTGCCGACCCTGTGTAGAAAACAAAAATATATCTATAATAAATCGTAAATACGTTGCGTACGTACATCATAAAAACATAATTTCCAAAAAGGAATTCTTTATTTTAGTAAATTTTAGTGAACGTTCTATTATTGGAGACCATGGTAAACAACAAAATATTCTATCCCCTTTTTGTATCAAAATTTCACATCGCATTTTTAATCAATTTTTCTAGCTAAAAAAGGATAAAAATAACCTTCTTGACAGAACATTTGTAATGTAACATTTACTCATTAAAATATTTTTCGGTAGGATTAGAATTGTTTTACCTGTATTGGGACCAGTTCGCCCAGGTATGGAAGAGGGGTACCCGTCCATGGCCACCACCAGTAAATCTGGAGTCGATGACGTCAGCTCTTCCCGATCAAACCTGATTAAGGTAGTAATCACACCGTTGACGTCATCCACCTTAAAACTGCTGTCGTTGAATTTTGTACTGTATGTCACCTGAAAAAGGTAAACATTTAAAATATTACTACCGTTTGAATTGTTTAAATCAATGGAGTAATACGCCGTAATCATTTATCATGGCGGTTATTGTTTAAACATGTGGTATTGGAGACCTTGTTGAAGGGTGGTGTCCTATCTTCGTCGTGGGCCAGCAGTATCCCGACCTCCTCTCCTATCGGTTGTTCCTCCTGAACAGAAAACTCGATTTTGCCGATTAGCGGGTTCTCTCTGTTGACAAATTGTGGTTTTTTGTTGTTCGTGTCGTTGATGGAGAATAAGAAATACGAATCTTCATAATACTGGGTATCTCCCTGTCCCTAGAAAGACAAAATATGGTATCTCCTGATAAAGTGTTCACAAAAATATTTATGAAGAGAAAAACCAACCAAAAAATGCCTAAAACAATTGATTCTCCTGTTACTCGTATTGTAAAAAGCCATGTCTCCACCCGCACTTTCTACAGAAAGTTTATATTGTTATCCTTGTCCGTCTGTCTGCTATACCTATTAATCGCCTTCTTAAAACTACCCTTACATTTTCAGTAGTAGCCAACTTAACCATTAGTATTAGCTTTGAACATGTGCAAGAAAATTTTCATATCTCGACATTTTGAATTTTACCGAAGAACCCAAATGAGGTAAAACAGGGTTTTTCTACAAAATGTTATTCCCCAAACTCCACTTTTTTTTGCAGTAACTGATTTGTAATTTGTATATATCTGGATGGTCATATGGATGTGCAATAATGTTTTGAAATTTTGATTTAAATCACCCCGGGCAGCGTTTGAGGATCCAAAATTTACGTTTGTCTATAAAAACCTGAGGCTTCTTCAACAGAGCGAGCGCTCGCGAACATTTTTATTGAAGGTATATGGAATTTTGGCGAGCTCTGGCGAATGTTCGCTCTGTTGACAGGCCTCTGGTTCCCTGAATCCTGACACGTTTTGCAGTAGGCGAATCATCTTTTGGAATAGGATTAGGAGTTACAGAAGTGCATTAAGGTTTCAGAATCTACACCGTGTTGGCCAAACGGAGAAAAAAGTAGTCGTTATAGAAAGCAAAATTTATCTTCCCTTATTTCCTCTAACATTCTTTTTACAATAGCTCAAACAATTTCATAACATGTTTAGGGGTGTCCTGGAGATGTGCAGCAAGTTTCTGGGTTCAAAATCGACTTCTTCTCGAGAACAAAATTTTCTTGTTCGTTCTCAAATGATTGCCGCTAACTTCGACCGTGTGACAAACATTACAGCAACTGAGGCAAGCTTGCAGCAGATTCACAGGAATTGAACATACAGAAATATTGCAAGAAACACACTCGCAAATATGTTATTTGAAGCAAGATTGCAAGAAACATTTAACATATTGAATGTTTGCAGAAAGTTCGCAAGAACGGTGAACAAGTCAAATCAGCCAATGAAATGAAGATAGTACTTGGCTCAACAAAAAATTCGCTATTTTGAAATGTAGGAATAAATGAAATTTTGAATTATTACAAAAGCATGATTCTTGATACAAGCGAACACAGGCATACCCAATATCTAATTGGTAAGATCTGATTTTGTTATATTTTAATATGAAACAATTATCTCTTTAAAGCCTGTTTAATTAACTGATGTACTTGCTTGGTCAAATCTAAATATATTTATATTTACATGTGTATATGACTTCCAAAATCTTAATTTTAAATCACGTTCCTGTAATGTATTGAAGGTTTTAAATCCGTTATTATAAATGCATGTATGTTTTCAAATAAAATGGTATTTACTGTAAAAATTTTAATTATGAAGTTAAAGGTACTTGGACACAGATTTGAAGTTAATATTTTCTCTATAATATTACGACTTATATATTTTAATAGCATTTCACACAAAAAATAATTAAAAATCTTATTTCATTTAGAAGTTATTAAATTTTTTGGCGGGTTTGATTGACACATCCTTGCACTTTCACAAATTTTAATTTTATTCTTAATACTTAGG